TATTCGTCAGGTATGTTTGGTTGTAGTATATGTCAGGTATGTTTGGTTGTAATGTTCGTGACACACACTGCAATCAGATTTCTTCTTCACCACTTTCTCTTTTATCGCTTTGGGTGCCGAGAGAGAGAGACACTAGATTCTGCACTTTGCTCTTCTGGACGCCCCGACTATAAACTATTAACATTGATGCAAAAGATCTCAGAATAATAATAAAAATATTTATTGGAAGTAAGATGCCGCAATTAAATTGGGAAATAAAGTAGACAGTTATGAACAGATATAGCAAGTAGTGAGACAAGGGTGTGTTTTGTCACCAGATCCTCTCTCTCTCTCTCTCTCTCTCTCTCTCTCTCTCTCTCTCTCTCTCTCTCTCTCTCTCTCTCTCTCGGGAAATAATAATGAGGGAGGTCAAGGATAGACCAGGAATACTAGTTGGAGGTTATAATATTAAAATCTTCGTTATGCAGATGATACAGAACTAACAGCTGAAAACACAGAAGACCTACAACAATTATTAGACATTGTAGTCCTAGAAAGTGAAAACAAAGGACTCTCCTTGAATATCAAGAAAACAGAAACAATGGTTATATGAAAGAAGAAGATAACTCCAAAATGTGACAAAGCAATAAAGGGAACGTGCTGCACCGAGTCAAACAATTCAAGTATTTGGGGACATTCATAACATAAGATAAACAATGTGTGACAGAAATTAAGAGCAGAATTGACCAGGCAAAGGCAGCATTTCAGAAGATGAAAAGTATTTTATGTAATAAATCACTCTCATTAAACATCAGAAAACGAGTATTGAAATGTTATATCGAGCCTGTCCTGTTGTATGGCAGTGAATCGTGGAATGTGAGCAAACAAATTAAGAAGAGTTTGGCAACTGAGTTGTGGCTCTTGAGGAAAATGTTGAGAATACCTTTAACTGCCAGAATAACCAACATTGAATGTCTGGAAATGGCTGATGAAAGTAGAAACTTATATACAACAATGAGAAGGAGACAAACAAAGTTCTTTGGTCATGTAATGAGAAAAGGAGCACTAGAAAATATCGTGACGACTGGAAAGGCAGAGGCAGACCGAGAGAAATGATGGTGGACGGCTTCAGACAGTGGCATGGAGGAATATCATGAAGGAAATGATCTAGAACACCAAAGACCGAGGCATGAACGCCTCCGCCAGCTGGCAAGGCACTTGATGATGATGATGATGATGATTCATTTAGGAAAATTATTGTTTCGTTCCTGTTTTGTTGTCGTGGTGAAACTTTTAATACAGACCAAAGTGTAACAATATGGCAGCTCCCGCTCTGTTTTAACTGCTACATACACATTACAACACCATCTGTGGTGGTAGAGAAGAGTGAAAGCAGAAGTACATAATCTGGGGTTTAGCTGCCTAACATAGGAAAACGTTGATTTACAGTACAAAGAAGGTATCCTTACACGCATATGATTACCCCCCCCCCCCCCAATTTTTTAAAAATAATTTAGCCTAGCGATAAGTTAGTTAGTTAGTTAGTTAGTTAGTTAGTTGGGTTATCCTCATTGCACTCCGGACATGTCCATAAGTGCTCAGATCCTCCCCTCAGTATGAACCCCAACGTCCGATGGCTAATAGTACCAGTTCTATGTTGATTAACAAGTCTTCTGGCGTGACTGGTGTGCGTCTCGTTTTTTGCTGTGCCGATCTTAATTCCCAAGTCAGCCATTCTGGCGAGTGATGTGGATTCACTGCCACCAAAGTCGTCTATCCTTCCCATTTCTCTGAGGGCATTGATAATATCAGCATGATCCATAGGCTGACCGTCGGTAGTGATAGCGGATCCAGCCAACCTGTCAGCTCTTTCATTTCCATCGACGCCTGCGTGTCCCGGAACAAAAATAAAGGTGACTCCACGGACAGTGGACTTCTGTAATGATTCAAGCCATTGTCTTCGCACTGAACCTGCCTGAACCCTCCGGATCATACTCAATGAATCACTGAGTATACACACGCGGGTGTATTTTTGTGTTTCAAGCCAGGCAAGCGCTTGTGTCACTGCCATCACCTCCATCGTCATGCTGCTGGTTGTCATGGAGAAGGCGCCGTTGGCTTCTTTGACTGTTCTGCCCGCTGAGCGTGCTGTAAATGCCCATGCGCTTCTTCTTTGGCGTATAACGGATTAGCGATAAGTTTAAAATCTTATATAAAGACAGGCACTATTCCTTATAAGATAGAATCTGACATTAAAATGTCTCTCAAGCAGAAGATGGATTGATGACATCAAAGATGTTTTACATCTTTAGAACGAATGCTACAATTACAACTAAGTGTGAAGAGCATTGTCTGCATTTGATATACAGGCGTGCTGGGAAATAAACAGGCGGTCAGATAGGTTGGCTCTGCACAACTTGGTGGAATAATGATGCATGAAAAGGCAGACGCGATTAGGGCCTTATCTGGACACGTGAACAATTTGGAACAGAAAATTGATAACCACACACAGTCCGGTGAGAGTGATACAGCGAGGAGTGACAAGGCGGTCTGGCCGATACTCCACGCTCAGAGAAAAGGCGAGACGGACATTAAATCATAATGTTACTGGTATGTTAACTCTGCTTCACTGCTGAAGATGGGGACGGAGCGCTCATGGAAATTTCTCAAGTTCTGTGATGTTGGTTCTTGAATCAACTCAACTCAACTTACATCCCCTAGGAATGACGATAATGCCATAGCGAATACTGGGCTGAAACCATTTCCTCTCGTTCAACCCCGCCAGGACCGTACAACGAGCGAGCAACACCCAGTGACACAAAGTGTCACCATTCAGATGAGGGTCACCCAGGCCCAAATTCCCAAAACCCTGTTCAACCGTTAGGTTATATTAGGGTCCCCGACTACAGCCAGGGCGGGGCTTTGAAATACATCGGGACGGGAAATAACTGTTCCTGTGCTCTTCCTGACGCTAAAATGCCACATGTGAAGTGAGCGACAATGGCGTTCAGTGCTAGATTTAATCATTAGCTAAATAACCTACAGCTTCGGGCCTCACTATCTGCAGGGGCATCACAGTCATGTTTAAACATATTTAAATTGCAATTTTGTTTTTAAATTATATTTTAAATGTTTGAGAGGATTTTATCAGTTCTGTGATTTTGCTTGCATGTTATTAATTCCTTGTCACAACAATTAAACCCCATACATAACCATTGTGCGTATATTTAAGAGTCGTATAGATTTGTAAGTTTTCTTAGATTAGATGGTGTCATTGAAAACGGTAGGGAGCTCACTTTTGTTTAAAGCTGTCTTATCTCAAAGTCCAGCCCTGATTGCGTTCTCAATGATGATGATGATTGTGGTGGTGGTAATGGTGATGATAGTGGTGCTCATGCTGGTGGCAATTCTGGTAGTACTGGTTCTACTGCTGGTAGTGATGATGGTTTTCGTGGTGGTGGTGGTACTGGTGTTTGTGACATTATTTTGAGGAACGATCTCTATTCACTTGGGATACATACACAAGAGCCCAGTCTTCCGTACCAGATTTTAAAATGTATGGATGATAACTATCTTCGTCACACTAAGATTGACAATTATATGTCGACATTTAGTAACAGTAGCAGTTCAGGTTTTGTTTGTAACTATTTTCTTTATCAGTTTTATATTTTCAGCTTCTAAGTCGTTTTGCTTCCAGGAACCGGCACGCCAGCAGCAAGTTCTCCAGGGTTCCCTATAGCTATTTCTGGATGCTTTTTTCTTCTGGCCCTGTATTTTCTCGCAGATTTTTCTCGAGGGGATATTTCTGTATTGTGTGTTTTAAGTGCGGCTTGGCATGGGTACTAAACGGATTGTGCAGCCTTCATTCTCTGCCTTAAGTCTGCAGTGTTCTATTCTCAGTCGGAAAATTGTGACGTATGACCTCGTGTTCAGCCCCTTTATTGGTCGTCATAATGTTTGTTCTCCGCCTCCAGAAGTTTCAGTACTTCTTGGTCTATGTTTTTTTTTTTTTTTTTAGCACAGAAAGAAGCAAACATTCTATTGAAGAATTAATTCCTTTTCATTCGAAAATTGTTACACATAAAGATATAGCGAATGTGTGTTTCTACATTAAGTGGTGATGCTGGTGGTGGTGCTGGTGGTGGTGCTGGTGGTGGTGCTGGTGGTGGTGGTGCTGGTGGTGGTGCTGGTGGTGGTGGTGCAACATTACCAGACAGGTAACTGCTCAGAGAATGCAGAATGCAGGTTTATTATAGCAACACTGAGAGCATCTGCCTGATAGTATGGCAGCATACATAACTACTACCACTAACATGTGTAATTTGTTATTCTGGTAAGTCACGCCTTCATGAACAATCCATCTTCAATGTCTTGTATCTACATTCTTGGAGGTCTACCTCTGCCTCGTTTTCCGGAAACTGTATCCTACGTCACCGTTCTCTCCAGCCCACCATGGCGTTTATCATAGCCAAAATACGTCAGCTTTCGGGACAGGATGCTGTTTATAAGCCATTTCTCCTCGATGCTAAGATCATGTAGTGTGTCTGTGTTTTTTTTTCCCTTTCTTGGACCGTAATAATGGCAAATTACTGGACATATCTGAAAATCAAGGAAGACTGGCTGATGAACAGCGTCTTGTCTCGGAAGCTGAAATAATTTGGTCACATCAAACTCCATGGCGGACTAGAACAAATTATAGCAGAAGGCATGGTGCCATGAAGGAGGGGCAGAGGCTGACCAGCACGAAGATGGCCACCACTTATAAATGATTTCTTGAATATGAAAGTACACGAGGCAGCAGAGCTGGCGAGAGACCGAATTTCTTTCTGGTAGACAATGATGAGAGCGACGTTCTGCAAAGGACCTGCTACATGATGATGACTGGACAAAACATTTTGTAGTAAAACCACCGACTACCAAGAAATGCTTCGGTTGGTTTACAAGTCCTGTATAAAACTGGCAGCTAACTTGTTGTTTTAACTCACACTCTACAGATCAGGTACGAGAATTCAGTTAACAGAATGGTGATCTACAGACTAGAAAACGCAGGTCTGGCCATGCTTTTTGGACACATGCTGCACTACGGTATCAAAAACATCCCCCCTGGTACACTGACTCTCATTGCCGGACAGACAGCCCTGTTTATGGATCCTGGATTCTTGCCAAATGTAGAAGATGCATGTATTAGTTCTTATTTAAGTAAGTAACAGAAACGCTTAAGTTCTTTGTTATGTGTGACCGTCGTGGTGTAGCAGATAGCAGCTCGTCTGCGGATCGGAAGATCGTGGTTTGGGATCCTGACAGAGCCGAACATTTGTTGTTGTCAAAAACAAAACAAAAAATGATCTTGGCCTGAAATCCTTAGCTCTACCTACGGTTTCATGCAGGAGACGCTTTTTGTCTGCAGCTACTCTGAAATATGACTTTGCTTGCAGAACTTTGCGCTTATCTGCAGTAGTAGCAAGAAATTAGGGCCTCCCCACAAAATATTCCCAAAGACAGCAATGGTACACTGTAATTAAAGACCCTTTTCACGCCTTTAGGCGTATCGGACATATGCAAAGAGCGACCGTATTGTTACAGACCAATCAGCACTAGATGTATAATGTCGTCTGCATTACGCCGGAAGTGGTACACCGTCGCCAACCTTTATAGCGGAAACGCCACACAACTTTTTAACTTTATTGTAGAGGTTGCGACTGATTGAATGACAAAACGGTTTCCTTTTTTTTTTTATCCCCCAGTTCTTTACGCAAAAGACTGGCTGAGATTCGTACTCAGTCCGTTCTACCACGGCTCCGACATGCATCTGTACTACAACATGCTCAGTCTCTTGTACAAGGGCAGCTGGCTAGAGAAGAAGTTTGGTACCCTGTACTTCCTGTACCTGACTGCCGTGTTCACAACACTCATTAACGGCATGTATCTTTTCCTCGGGGTTATCCTCACCAAGATCTTCAACGACGATGGCTACCTCAAAGCTTGTGCGGTGGGATTCTCAGGTAGTGTATAGCCACCGGTGGTTTGTATGAATGAATGAATGAATGAATCAATCAAGAATTGACATTCCTGCACGCAGGACATTCCCCGCGTGTTTCGTCTCCTTCATCAGTGGCCAAACAAACAGACGATATTTTGACAGTATCAACTGCAAACTGATGACAAATTTGCTTATGTTCTCCCCTTAATGTTGAATAACTCTTCCTAACCCCTCATACTCCCTTCACTACTGATTATATGTCAATATAGATGTAGCTAATAATTTACATGCATTATCATCTTACTTATATGTATTATGTAGGTGTGTGTGTGTGATTGTTGGTGTGTGTATGTATGTGGATATATGTATGTATTTTTAGGTTTGTAAGTAGATGTGTGTTTGCATGTACGTATGTTGTAAGTATGTGGGTATATATATGTGGGTGTATGTGCGATTGTATATGAGTGTATGTGTGATTGTGGGTGTGTGTGT